AAAGAGAAGGAAGGGAAAGACAGAAAGGAAGATCGGAAGATCAAACTCATCAAAGTAAGGGTTTATATATAAAAAACAAAAAACGTATCATAACAAAACAATAAACAATCACGTGATCTCATGTTATGATACGAGATTTTTGTAAAATTATTTTCTAAAAATATTAAGTTTAAAAATTCCGTATACATTCCGTATGATTAATTTTTTCCGTATACATTTCGTATACATCAGTTTTTTTAAAAAATGTTCAATTATTAAATATACGGAATTTGTATACGGAATCTATAGAAACGTACATAAAATGTATACAAAACGTATCCTTTCCGTATACATATTTCTTATAGGGTAAATTCACGTTCTTCGGCAGTTTCTGTTATTCTTGCTTTGATTCATTTTACTTTTTCGAATCTCTAATAGATTGATTGTTTATTTTATAGTAATGAAAAGTAGGTACTGGAGCGATTAAGCCAAGTAAAATGTAGAAATTCTTTATTATTACCTAGACTCTTAAAGTTTATTTATTAAATTTATACATCATTAATAAACAGCTTCTTAAACTCGAGAAATAGGAATTTCTCTTTTTCGGCGTGTGTCAATTTATTTCTATTGAAGTTATCTTATTAAATAAATTAAAGTTTTAGTGGGCTACTTTTTATACAATCCCAAATCTAATCTGAATTTAAAATTTGCAATCTACTAAAATCTATAGAAAGTTCTGAACTGAGACAAAGTAATTTCAAGAACTTACCAGCAGCACACATAAACTGATATTTTTTCCTCGTATATGTACCATTCTCGCTTTTTGATTGACCGTAAAGTTACCAAACAGGCGTCTCATCCATATTAAAGATATCGCACATTTCTTGTATTACGGTCAGTCCTTATTTTCACTGTTCAATAATCCAGCTATACAATACATTTTCAGCTTCAGCCTTCAGGATATAGACCAGAACCAATTTTGTTTTTTTTGCCATTTGTTTCGGTTGTCCAGCAGCTCACGTTCATTTGGACCCAACATCTGATCATACTAATATTAAGATTAAAGTGGTTTGCCGCTACACTATAGTCATGTTTATAAGCGTAATTGATAACTTCTCTCTTAAACTCAATAATATATGAAGTTCGTTTAACTTTATGCTTAACAACTTTTGGTGGCATGATTTGTCTTTGGGAAAATTAAGTAGGTTTCGTGTAAGGTGATTATGATCACATTGTTCAACCTTTGTACAATAAATTAGATGATCATGTTATGAAAATTTGACGCAGCTTAATAAAAAAAAGCTGTAAGTTTCGAACAATATATTTATACCCAAAAATAAGCATGCCTATAATAAGGGGTTGCTTATTATTTTTGGGAGAATACGATTTTTTTTCTTTAAAATGATAAACTTTATTTATAAAGAATATTCCCGATATTTTAAAATAGGAATTTAATTATGTTGGCTCGATCAAAATTGAGTAACATTGATATATATAAAAATTTATAATTTGGGTCAACATTAATATTAGAAATTCTAGTTTTTGTCAGATAATCGTAGTGATGCTATACCTCTAGTTATTAGTATTGTAAGAAATTTAATACAAATCTAATTTAATACAATATAGACGCAAAACATCTGATCATTAAAGTAACCTATATACTAAAATGACCTCTTTAACTTGACTGCAAATTAAACAAAGAAAAATACCTAGAATAATTAGCTTCTCTAAATACAGAAAAATTATTATAATTCCATAACCATTGTTGCATCGTATCAAATATAAAACGATCTTTGACACGTTGAACAATACGAGATGATGGAATCAAAGTACGATCTCTTTTACTCGATCGTTTCATTTGTTGTGTAATACCTTTACTTCTTTCCCAAATATTCATTTCCTCGCATCGTAATACCCAAATATATGTTCTACTCAGAAATTTAACATCTGTTACAAAAGATTTAATAACATTCCTAATCTTTTATCATCAATACCCAAATATAATTGTAGTGATGCTAATTTAACTGATGGGTTTTAACAGAATTGTAATAAAGCAACAAATCAGCATTGTTGAAATTGTTTTAACTTATTAATCACTAAGATTACATCGGTAGAATCTTTTTCGGAATGATAAATTTAACAATGAAAAATATAATTTTATTGCAACCAAATTTTTATTTTATTTTGTTATTATTCTATAATGAAAAAAGTTTTGAATGTATACAAAAGTTAAATTTTAAACATGAGTTTTAACAAAGTATCATTTAAATTTTATTAATGGCTTTAACAATTGTAAAAACTATATAAATCTAAAGTAATAAATTCCAACATTTAGTTTTAGTTAAGTCGGCATTACTTGATAATCGTTAAGTAATAATATTTAGCCAATAAAATACAATGCACGTGATAAATTTAGTTGTCAATCATCGTTCAGTTCGTTCACGCGCATTAATAAACAATTTACAATATAACTGTTGTGCCCCAAGTTGATGATCTGCCCCAAATCAAAATTTCAATTTGGGGCGATCAAACTTAAAATTTCAAATCGGGGCAATACAATTTTATTACCCAAATTTTAAATTGGGGCAAATTGAGATATTAAGCCTGTGGTGCCCCAAGTTAACTATTGCTCAAATTTTAAATTGGGGTGATGGTCAACTTGGGGCACCACAGGCCCAATATCTCGATTTGCCCCAATTTAAAATTTGGGCAATAGTTAACTTGGGGCACCACAGGGCCAATATTTCAATTTGCCCAAATTTAAAATTTGGGCAATAGTTAACTTGGGGCACCACAGGCCTGATATCTATATTTGCCCAAATTTAAAATTTAGGCAATAGTTAACTTGGGGCACCAAAGGCCTGATATCTATATTTGCCCCAATTTAAAATTTGGGCAATAGTTAACTTGGGGCACCACAGGCCTGATATCTATATTTGCCCAGATTTAAAATTTAGGCAATAGTTAACTTGGGGCACCACAGGCCTGATATTTCAATTTGCTCCAATTTAAAATTTGGGCAATAGTTAACTTGGGGCACCATAGGCCCGATATTTTAATTTGCTCCAATTTAAAATTTGGGCAATAGTTAACTTGGGGCACCAAAGGCCTGATATCTATATTTGCCCCAATTTAAAATTTGGGCAATAGTTAACTTGGGGCACCATAGTCCTGATAACTATATTTGCCCCAAATTTAAATTAAGGTTAATATAGTAAGACTTTAAGTTAGCTATTATTTTTCTATAAAATTAAAAATCTTAATTTCACTCTATACATTTATTTATATTGTTGCAATTTTTTAATTAATTTTTTTTAATCACTTAATTATTTAACATTTGAATCTTTTATTTTATATTTTAGTTGTTAATGTTTAAATATTTAATATGTCATAAAATTTATCTTAAATTTTTGCAATAGAAAACTTTATTAAAATTCCAAAATAAACAAATTATAATATCTTTTTAATTATTATAAAGAAGGATTATGACATGTTTTACCAGGATGACATCTAATATTACAAGACAAATTTAATTTCTTACATGCACATTTCATTAGTACTACAATTTGTATTAGGGCATTTGCATTTAACTGAATTTACTTTACTTTGTAATCTAACTGCTTCTGTAACAGTTACTACCTTGTTTGGAATATTTGTTAATTCAGCCATTGAAGTTAATTCAGTTGATTCCAAACAATTTCCATTATAGTTTACATTTAATGATCCTGCAAAACATCCCAAATTGTAAAAGCCTTTAGGTTTAACTTTTAAAATCTTACAAGGTAAATGACTGCGTCCTAATTTTCCTTTATCTGCCTTTGGAATTTTAAGATTAACAATATCACCAACCTTAAATATATCTTTCTTTTTAACTTTTTTCTCCATTAATATTTTCATATCATCTCTATATTTTTAGTTATTCATTTTTGCATCATCGCGAATATAATCATGAGATGATATAGTTTCTTTATGTGATGTTGAAGATGTTGAAGCTTCATTGTTTCAGACTAAAAAAATAACAATAAATAAAAATAATTAATTAAATATAAATTAAATATAATAATTAAAAAATAGAAATTATTACAACTCACATTTTGTACATTATCTAGTTCATAAAGCCACTTGTTGAATTTTTTTTCCCAAATATTTAATAAAATATTATCAAATGAGTTTGTTTCGCGCATTACTTTTAAATCACGTAAAAATGCTAAGATGTCTCTTTTCATTACGCCTAATCTTAATTTATTAATATATACAAACATACCTTCCCATGATGCATTAATTTCTTCCCAAGTGATATTATTAATTTGTGGAGGTTTTAATTGAAATAATGTACTTGAATCAACATTAGATACTCGCTTAGGTTTAGGTTGCTTTATTAGTACAAATTGAAAAAAAAGTTTATTAAAATAAATGAAAAATTTAATCAAGAATATAACTTTTTTGTTTACCTTCTTAATATTTTTATTTTTGTTAAAATTGCTATTAAGATCGCTAAAATCTTCAGAATTTTCATCAAAATCATCAGAATCTTCGTTAAAATCATCAGAATCTTCAGTAAGATTATTAGAATCTTCGTTAAAATCATCAGAATTTTCATTAAAATTATTAGCATCTTCGTTAAAATCATCAGAATCTTCGTTAGAATCATCAGAATCTTCATTAAATATATCAGAATCTTTGTTAAGCTAAAAATCAAACATTAAAATTACCTGTACTCTCGAAAGAAATCTTTTTGCAACTATAGGTCTTGCTGCTAAGGTGGATTTGGACATAGTTCTGCGTGGTACACATAATTCACAATGATTCACAAACTCCTCTATAATTTTCTTTTTTACCCCATACCATTTGCTTCTTAATTTTTTATACAAATTTTTTTGTCCACAATGAACATTTTGTACATGTTCCAAACAAATTGTTTTATACATTTCTTCTAAGACTAATATTGGTAAAAAATAAGCAGATTTACCTTCTTTATCTAAAGCTGCTTTTGTTCTTTTATTATTATTTTTACATACAATAGAATCACCTCCAGTATTTAATAAAATGAAATTCTTTCTACACCAATAACGAAAGTCTGCATTCCATAATGTAGAAACAGGATCTAAAAGAACTTTTTTATTTCATCATAAAGGCGTCTATTTATAAATTGCTTTTCGGATGTTTTAGATTTACTGTTTTGTATAAATTTATCAATAAATTTATTAAAAGTATCTTTACTAATAAAAGAAAATTCTTCTGTTTTCATGATAAAAAAATTTTTTTAAAAAATTTTAGGGTGAAGAGACGTCAGAGACGCGAAAAAAAAAGATTGATAAAAAAAGAGATTAGTTTGTTTCACAAACAAATTGAAAGCCAATGATTTTTGATGATCATATAAGTCACATGATCAAAAATCAAAATTTTGGGCAATAAAATGTCTGTGCCCCATTTCGAAATTTCAAGTTGGATTGCCCAAAATTGAAATTTCAATTTCGGGCAAAATGAAGTTGCCCCAATTTCAAATTGGGGCAGATCGCAACTTTGGGCACAACATAACTACTCTTCACTATTTTTAAAACTCAATTTTATCACAGAATCTAGCATAGTTTATCTTTTGATCATGAAACATCCAGATTGCTGATTCAAATTCATTTGTAATATTATTAATTTTTATTGCAAATGAAATTCGGCATTATCTCTTTTATGTTGTTCTAGTAATTTTACAAAATTATCTGCATCAAAAACTTTATTTTTCGCCCCAACGAAAGATGTTTATCGTAGATAGACTATCCACTGATCATTTGACATTTTAGATATATGACTAGTACGACTAGTACAAACTACAACAAAAGTTAATAATGACCAACAATCAGTAGGTATTTATATGATTATGAAAATTTTGGTTGTACAGTTTGTCTGCGAAATGTGGTTTAGAATATTGTTAATTTCATTGCATATCATATTAAGTTTATTTTTTTTAACAATTTACGTTAAATTATATTCTTATAATTATTTTTGAGAAAAAAAAAGATAAACATTTTTAAAAAAAAGTTTAAGTAAAATTTTATATAATCACAAGCCAAAAGATTTTCTTAACACATGATATATCTTAATTTAAATATCATTACCTTATCTGACCTCCTCACAAAAACCTAAATATAAAAGATATAAAATTAATAATATTTTACTTTAAAAATGTATACCTTAATTATATTATATTACCTCTTAACATCTAAATTAACTAATTGAGAATCTTGGGTGTTTACTACTAAATCAATAAATTTAATTAGATTAATTATTTTAAATTCATGGCAAACAGCAAATCAATACCTTCATCAACTTTTTCCTCTTGAAGATACGAACTAATAATAGAGGAATTAACAGGCCTTGATAGTTTGCTAAATATAAATTCTCGACTAGTATATATAGCATCAGGATCTTTTTCATAAGATGTTGTAATATTTGGTATTTCTTTATCAGCCTCTTCAAATATTGTTTTAATTTCTTTTCCTGTATATCCAAAATTTTCTTCTTCTCGTGTCTGTTTAAAGTAATAAATAGAATCATACCAAAATTCTGTTATATTAAATAATTCATCAGCTGTTGGTCTTTTAATTGGATTGGCATTCGTACATCTATATGCTAATTTCTTATATATTTCAGGAGTTCCCTTTCCAAATTCAGGTCTGAGTCCATCACATATAGCTAGTGCTAAGTTTAAATTATGCTTTTTATTATAAAATGGTGGTTTTCCAAATGATAATTCGATCATAATTATACCAAAACTATAAATATCAGATGATGAAGTGTATGGTTCTTTGTTTAAAACTTCGGGAGCAATATATGGTAATACACCATATATTTTGTTATCTAATTTTTGTTCATTCGCTGGTTCAGATAATCCAAAATCTGAAATATATAATTCAGAATCTTTTCGTAATATATTTCCACTATGTAAATCTTTATGAAAATATCCCAATTTATGCATATTTTTAAGATCCACCGCTAAATCAAATAACCAGTTAATTTTATCCTTCCATGAAATATTTTTGAAATTATGTAAAACAGTATTTCTCAAATTTCCTTCATTTGCAAAATCCATGATTATTATAAATTCTTTGGTTTCTGGGTCTTTTGTCATTCCATAAAATGTTAAATAGGTTTTATAATTTAAACAAATATCCCAATATACTTTAAGCTATTATTAAAATAAGTGAGTATAATAATAGTAATAATAATAATAATACACATATAAATAAATATACAGCACCTCACTCAAATACTCAGCTGATATATTCTGTGATCCATTTAACTTTTTTAAAGCCACTTTCATAGGTTTAGATTCTAATTTTTTCCAACTCTCTTCATTTAGTTTTTCATATTTCGATTTACCATCTATCCATATTGCAGTATATACTTTGGCAAAACCACCTTTGCCAATTTATTCTATATTTATAAGTTTATCAAATGGTACCCACTCAAGAAATTCAGGATTTAGTCTTTGTCTTGCATTATAAATTGAATCTTTAATAAATTTATCAATATTTAAGTTTCCGCTAGTCCATCCTTCTATTATACAGTATGGATCACATTCTTTGCACCATAATTTTTCAGTAAATGGGTTATTACAATAAGAACATATCTTATTATCAATCTGATTATCTTCTATTAAAGATCAAAATAATGAATTAATATAAGTATTTAATTATGACTAATACATTAAAGATATAATAATACCTTTATTATATATTTCATCAATGTATGAAGTAATAATAGATGAATTAACAGGTTTTGGCAAATTACTAAATGTAAATACTTGACAAGTAAGTTTAGCATCTGGATTCGATTCATATAAAGTTGAAATAGTATTTGGTATTTCTTTATCAGCATCTTCAAACATAACTTTGATTTCTTTTCCTACATACCCTAAAATTTTACCATTAAGAATATCATTCCAAAAATTTACAACTTGATATAATTCATCAGCTGTTGGTCTTTCAATTGAATTAGCATTCATACATTTATATGCTAATTTCTTATAAATTTCAGGAGTTCCTTTTCCAAATACTGGTCTAAGTCCATTACATATATCTGATGCTAAATTTGAATTATGGCTTCTATTATAAAATGGTGTCTTTCCAGATGATAATTCTGCCATAATTATACCAAAGCTATAAATATCAGAAGAAAATGTATACGATTCTCCATTTAAAACTTCTGGGGCAATATATGGTAATACTCCATATATTTTATCATCTAATTTTTGTTCATTTGTTTGCTCAAACGATTTAAAATCTAAAATCCAATAGTAATTATATTTTTGAAATACATTTCCACAATGAAGATCTTTATAAAAATATTTTAATTCATGTAAATATTTAAGATAAAATGCTAAATTTTGTAATAAACAAATTTTATCATTCCATAAAATATTCTTTAAATCATTTGTAAGAATATTTCTCAACCTTTTTAAATTTGTTAATTCTATTATCATCATAATTTTTTTAGTTTTTGGATTTTTAGTTATACCATAAAATTTAAATATAGTACCCTTTTTACTTGTATTCCAATAAAATTTAAGCTAAAATCATAAAAAAGTATTACAAGAACTGAATCAAAATTAAAAAGTATTTATAAATTTAATGAAACATACCTCATTTAAGTATTTAGGTGAAATATCTTGTGATTCATTTAAACTTTTCAAAACAATTTTCATAGATTTAAATTTACGTTTTTTCCAACTTCCATGTTCATATTCTGGTTTACCATCTATCCATATTGCAGAATACACTTTAGCTAATTCGTCCTCACAAATTTGCTTTATACCTGTAAATCTATCAAATGGCACCCATTCAAGAAAATAATAATTATAATCTCTTGCATTATACATTGTGTCTTTTATAAACTTATCAATATCGGGAAATTCACTTGTCCATCCATCAATCATATAATGAGGATCACATTTGTTACACCATAATTCTTCAGTAATCAGTTTTTCACAATGAGAACAAATTTCATACTTGTCCGAGTTATCTTTATAACATATTATAACAAAAAAAAATTTATAATAATTACTTAACAATAAAATTAACATTCAATTTTAAACCAAGTACAATACCTTTATTATCCATATTTTCTTCAAAATAGGAATTAACAATAGATGAATTACTAGGATTTGGTAAATTGCTAAATGAAAATATTTGGCTAGTATTTTTTCCATATGATGTTGTAATATTTGGTATTTCTCTGTCAGCTTTTTCAAATATAGTTTTAACTTCTCTATCAGCTTCTTCAAATATAGCTTCAACTTCACTTCCTTTGTAACCAAAAATTTCTCCATTAATAGAATGATACCAAAATATTAATATTTTACTTAATTCATCTGCTTTTGGTCTTTGTTTTGGATTAGAATTCATACATCTATAAGCTAATTTCTTATAAATTTCAGGAGTCCCTTTTCCAAATTCTGGTCTAAGTCCATTACATATATCTAATGCTAAATTCAAATCATATTTTCTATTATAAAAAGGTGGTTTTCCGGATGATAATTCGGCCATAATTATACCAAAACTATATATATCTGAAGGTGATGTATATTGTTTTCCATTCAAAATTTCTGGAGCAATATACGGTAATATGCCATATATCATATCATTTGATTTTTGTTTATTTGCTGGTCCAATTAATCCAAAATCTGAAATATAACCATTACGACCATTATAATATCTGTTATTAAAGATTAATATATTTCCGCTATGAAGATTTTTATGGAAATATCCTAACTTGTGTAAGTTATTAAGCCATAATGTTATATGACCTAAAATTCTAATTTTACCGCTCCATAAAATTCTGTTAAATTCATTTAAAAGAATACTTCTCAAACTTCCTCCATTCATAAACTCAATAATCATCATAAATTCTTTAGTTACTGGGTCTTTGGTCATTCCATAAAATCCCAAAGTAAAATTTTCTTCTAAATAAACATCCCAATGTATTTTAAGCTATAAAAAATTTTAAAATTAATGAAAAATAATTGTAATTTAAAATAATAATGAAATAATAATTATTATACCTCATTTAAATATTCAATTGACATTTCATGTGAACTATTCAATCTTTTTAAAGCAACTTTAATTGGTTTGGAATTTAATCTTTTCCATTTTCCATGTTCATATTTATACTCTGCCTTACCATCTTCCCATGTTGCAGAATATACTTTAGAAAATCCGCCTTCGCCAATTTGTTCTATATTTGTAAACCTATCAAATGGTACCCATTCAAGCCATGTTCCATATTTTCTTGCGTACATCGTATCTTTGATGAATTTATCAATATCGGGATTTTCGCTTGTCCATCCTTCAATTATTTTGTATGGGTCGCATGTTTTACACCATACTTCTTCAATAAACGGTTGATTACAGTAAGAACAATTTTTATGGTTGGGGCCTACTATGTCTGAATCACTTAATTCAGACTCTATTGGAATTTGAGTTTTATTATTTAATATACCCATTTTTTAAAAGGAATTATTTTTACAAGTAAAAAAGATTACAAAATTTTTGATGATCATATTTTATAACTAAATTTTCTTTACACGAATTGAAAATGTTGCACAAAATTTATTAAATGCAGGTTGGTTTTATTTTTGATTTGATTATCTTGATTACACAGATATTCAGGGCTGATTTTGTTCTCTGTACGCCTAGAAACAAAACAAATTTAATTAATTTGTAACAGACTTCGAAAATAGATTAAGGGAAACAAATACGAGCCAGCATTATGCAATGCTGGCTAGAATTATCCAAAAAGAAAAGATCTACTTGTTCTACGATTTCTCTCATAATATTATACAAGTTATGCCGCGTTACGTACTTATAACTAATATTATATTAAAAAACTCAATTCTTTTCAACGAAAAACTGCCTCACAAATTGATTTAAAAATTCATTCTTGATAAGACCATTATACAAAAAATAATGATGAGTGTAAGCGGCAAGTCAACAATACCAGATAGGCGGTTTTATTTAATTGATCGGTCATTATATAATTTAACAATTCTATTTTAAATAATTAATAGAACCTCAAATTGGCTTGTTTGAAAGAAAATTAAATGATGGTTCGCTGATGGTTTGTCATATATTTTACTTATTATTTATTTCTCTTTAGCATCCAACCGAACTAAGATTAACGAAAATGCGAAGCAATAATAGTAAATCAAATTGAACCAATTCGATTCTGAATTATTTTTTACATATTGGCTGATCTGACATCGCCTAGTTGCTAGCCATTTTGCTAGAATTTGAAGTCTGGTTCAGAATCAGATTGGTTTTCTTTAGAAAAAAAAATTTAGAGATGGAAGTGATTAAATCGCTGATTCTAATCCCTAATATAAACTAAAGCTGCTTAATTCAAATCTCATTGTATATATAATTAGGAAACGACGGGAACCATCGTAAGTCCGGAGTGAAAAACTAAAATTTGCGATTTCATTTGGTGACGATCACATGGCGGACAGAAAAGTTCACGTGATCGATTTTGTTTTCATAGTGCGTAGACATATATTGTCCTTCGCTTCACTCTGGAAAATTACTCGTTAAAACCTAATCTTTAACCGGCATTAAAATTTGGCCAGAATTAATGCATTACACAAAGTTTAAATAAAAAAAACAAATAGTTTTATTAACGATTGATGAAGTGATTTTATTGTATAAAAAATTAATTATAGGTATTTCGGCCAGTAAATAATTTTTAACGGATGATTATTTCGAGCCTTAATAGTACCAATTACTATACGAACTTTTCTACCAATGCGATTTTTCGTTTCTATTTGATTAAAAATAGTTTTTTTTACGAATGCTCACGTTTAAATCTAAAAAGAAATTATTTATTTTTTATTAATTTTAAGGTTAAAATGGCAATGATTGTTGATATTCTAGCAATTACGTCCGCTAATATTATTATCTATGAAGAAATTACTGTGATGATAAAATATCGTGATGTTTACATCCTTCTTATTCTCTTCCTTTTCCGACTTTTGAGAACCAATTGCCCTTGGCGTGTTAATGTGACTATCCTAAAAAGAAAATTTGATTTGAATCCACGCGTTTTTCAGTAAACAAGATAGGAATCTGGTATACGTACAAAGAAGTTTTGATTTTTCTATAGAAAGTCAATAAACTTAGTTTACATAAAATATATTATGTCAAATTACTGTATCTCCCAATTTTGAATTAAGAATTTGTGTTTGGTTCCTATTAATAATTTAAAATTGGCTCGAATAATAAAATTTTGAAATGATAATGATAACTAACAGTAAATAAATATTAGAATAATAATAAACAATTATTTATAAAGAATATTCTTAATATATTTAAAATAGGAATTTATTCGAGTCAATAATACTTGATTATTGAATGATTTAAATCAATAATCGAGCACTGTAATGTCAGGCCTGTTAAATCACTTTTTTCATATTAATAATAAAAGATTTATTACAAAAAGATTTTTATTTAAAAAGTTCTGTATTTTATTATTCTATAATGAAAACAATTTTGGAATGAATTATCATCAAATGCGTATGTATACAAAAGTTAATTCAAACTTTAAAATATAGGGTTTAACAAAATAATGAAAATATCATTTAAACTTTATTAGTATGGCTTTTAACAATTGTAAGTAAATAATAAATGCAAATACAATGTACGTGATCAATTAAGTTTTGATCGAGCTCAATCATCGATTACGCATTTGTTAATAAACAATTTACAATATAATCTCTTTTCCACTATTTTCAAAACTCCTCTATTAATTAATTTTGTTAATCTAATATTTTTGATTATTTCTTTTTTTTTTTAGTATTTGTTGCATATCATATATTCATGTTAAGCTCATTTTTTTTAAATAATTTACTTATACCATTTAAATATTAATTTAATTTTTTTTACAAATATTAAATAAAAAATTTATTGCATTTTTTATAAATCATTATTTTTTTAAAATATAATCACAAGCCGCTAAAGTTTCTTAATGATATATTTTAATTTGGATAACCCTAGAATCACAATGTAGCCGGATTTGTTGCCAGGTTACACATGATCTACACACATGATCCGAACGATTATTTTTAGTAATTATAAAACTTTTTATTGATCTGATCGATTCTTTTACACACACCACCTTTCTTTTTTTTACGAAATATCCAAAAAATTGTTAACATGTCGTATCAACAACAAAATAAAGTTTGTAAAGGGTGTCATTATACTGAAATTTTTTAATGAAAAAGGAATTATTTTGAAAAATGTTGCAAACGCTAAAATAATATTACAAGATCACCGACATTCAATAAAAAAACCAGAAAATCTGACGCGACAATTAGTTATGCAGGATATAACAAAAACCATATATAATTCCTTAACCTCTTATAAATATTACTAATAAATTTTATGAAGGAAAATTTTGTATATTGAGTTATCAGCAGTGAAGATTTTGAATATATTTTTTAATTGTGAAATTGGGCATTATATAGTATCTCTTATATCAGAAGGTGGTGGTTACATATGGGTTTACATATTAAATCAGAAAAAGGACACTCTTCTTTTAACATAGAATGTTTAATAATATTTCATATTTGTAATGTATAAGAACAAACTATTTAGCGTTAATTATACAGTATTTATATTTACAAATAAAATACATGATCTATTATAGCGAAAGTAAGTAAAATAATGTAAATTAAAAGTACATAAAATAACTTTATACCATTTTTTTGCCAATAAAAAAATACATCCCGATAAAATGAAATTATCAAAAATAATTTAACATAAAAATTTTTTTTAGTTAACAGACCAAAAATTTTTTAGGTTTAATTATACAACTTACTTATATTTGTTTTATATATTTTTAATTCTAGGGTAATTAATATAAATTTCTAGGTAAAATAGCTTTTTTTTTAATCAATAAATAATAATATAATCATTACCGAAAAAATCGTCCGGATCATATGCGCAGAACACGTGCCGGTCTTTTTGAGACTGGACCGGACCGTATAACCTGGCAACAAATCCGGCTACCATTTTTTAACATGGTGATGCTAGGGTGCTGGGACTGCTGGGTGCAGGACTGCTGGGTCATTTAATTTTGGATAACTCCCCACAAAAAAAGCTTGGGCACGTGATCTAAAGCGTGGCGTAAACATGGGGCCCGAAACCTTTGAGAGGATTTCCGAAAGTTTCGGGTTTCGGAATATACGAATCGAAACCTCACCCGAAACCCTAAACAAATTCCGAAACCCTAAACAAAACCCGAAACCCGAAACTAATTTCGGTTATTCCGAAATTAATTCCGATATTCTGAAATTATTTCCGATTCCCGAAACTCATTGATTGACTAATCACGTGGTAATTTAAATATTAGATAGATGTTTGATAATCATCTATTTTTAAGACTTAACGTTAATTGAGAAGTCTTTTTTAAATAACAAAATGTCAGATAGTTTACCATCAAATTCAAAAAAAACGAAGTCTGCAAATAGTACTAATGGACGTCCAAAAAAGCCTATTTGGAGGTTTTTTGAGCAAGGAGACGAAATAGACAAAGGGCATTACATTGCAACATGTTTGGCTTGTAAGCAGACTTTTCGTCCTGGTAAAACACCAGTAATGGAAAAACATATAATGAATAATTGCTCAAAAGTGGACCATTCAATTTGTGAAGCTGTCATATATATGGTGGAGGCACATGAGACACGCGAAATTTCTTCTGGTGCTAACACCAAACGTCAAAATAGTGAATCAGATCAAGTTACTCTGGAAAATTTTTATGAAAATTCAGATTTAAGTAAGGAATGAAAGGAAGATATTGATACTGCCCTTATCAAAGCATTTGTATGTTGTGGTTTACCATGGCATCTAGTTGAACATCCGTTTATAATCGAATTGTTTAAGCGTCTCAGATCTAATTATAGTCTGCCAGACCGGAAGACACTTGCTGATACTCTATTAACACAGGAAATTTTGCGTGTTAATGTAAGGCTATATAGGCTGCTAGAAAATGAAAGTAATTTGACGTTAGGTAAGCATATACAAAATTTTATAAGAAAGTTTTTTATAAATTAATTGAAACTTAAAATTTTAATTATTTTCCTTCAAAATTTAAATTTTTAATTAAGCCATGGACGGGTGGACAAGTCCATCAGGAAAATCTCTTTGAAATTTCGTTATTCATCTTGGTAATGGTCAGGATATCCTTTGGAAAATTAGTGATTTTTCAAGTGAGAGTCATACTGCGGAATTTCTTGCTCGACAAGTACAGTCAATTCTTGAAGATATTGGCATTCAAAAGTTTGTAGGTATCGTGACAGATGCTGGATCAAATGTTCATTCTGCACGAAATTTAATTACCAGAAGATTTCCACATATTCTCAATATTAGATGTATAGCACATTCACTAAATTTGATTACAAAAGATTTAATAAAACACACATTTTCAAAAAGAATTATTCAATGGTGTACAGTTATTGTAACATATTTTAAAAAGTCACATAGGCCCAAAGAACTACTAGAATTAAAAATTAAAGAAAAACAAATTGGAGGTGGTGGATTAAAAACATATTTAGATACGAGATGGACGACTGTTTATGAGATGTTAGATTCAATTTGTCGGCTAGAAATTTGTCTCAAAGAAGTATAACTTTATTATTTTAATTTTATTACTAATCTATTTTGTAATATAAAATTACAAATTTGCAATTAATCTTATTTTTGTTAAATATTTCATTAGGTTATCGGTGAAAACTCTAATATTATTACGAGTGAGGCTGTTAAGACAATTATTAATCAGAAACGTGGATTTTTTAATGATGTTTACGATTTGGCAAACATTATGAAACCTATCAGAGATGCTATTCTCAGTCTTGAAAGTAACAAATCAACGCTAGCTGATTGTTACTTTTCTCTGGCATGTCTTGGTCAATCGATTAACAAGATTCCTGATGAAAATGAAAATGTAAGGTTTCATCAGCATGCAATAAAATCCTTCAATGAACGTTTTAAAATGTATGATTTTGATGAGTATCTCTTAGCGTATTATATTCATCCTAGTTACAAAGGTAAAAAAAATATTATTAACAATATTAACTATTATTTTATATAACAATGATGTAAATAGTATTTTTAAAAAACTAACAACTAATAAACAGGTTTTGGTGTAAAAATGTCCCAATACCAAAGAGTTAAAAGTACAGCTGCACGTATTTGGCAGCAAATGTTAAAGGATCCTAATATCGCTACCTACCTCAAAAAACATGATCATTCAAAAAAAAAGTCAGCAGAAATACTTCTAGCACAAATTGGCGAATTTCATTTACAAACAGCACCATATAATATGCCATACTCTTCACAAGTAAATACGCCACTTAGTTGGTGGAAAATGTGCGTACCCACTCCACCCTATTTACAATTACTCTCAATTAAATTGTTTTCAATCATTCCACATGCAGCAAGTTGTGAACGAATTTGTTCAATCTGTGGATGGATGGTTGGTAAAAGAAGAACGCGATTATTGACTGAAAATTCAGAATCTATGTCGAAGATCCATTCTTATTATATTGCCAATAGTAAATCTGAGTTACCTAATTTTAGTAAAGATCGAACTGCTGAGGAACTTCGTACAATTTTAAGTGATGCCCATCTTTGTGATGATGATGATGAATATGTTGATGATTATAACGAAGAGGAAATGATAAAGTTAGTGTCAAGCCCACCTATTAATGATGATTGTGAACAGGTTCCGTCTCAAGATTTGGAAATTTTAAATGTACTTGATTTAGATTCAATGTTTAAGGATAAATCAAATAATATAACGGATAAGCAATTAGAACTAGATGGACTCAATGATTTTATTCAAGAACTAGACGAGGAAGATGATTTTGATCCAGATTTATTAGTTCAAAATTTTAATTCATAGTTAATATATAATTATATATAATTTTATTAATATAATTTTACATAATAAAGTTTAAATTAGTACAATATTGTTATAATTTTAATTAATTGTTAATAAAAATAAATTAAGTAAACTAATAGGTTTCGGACTTTCGGTTATATTTCGTATATAAAAGTTTCGGGAGTTTCGGGTCAATTTCGGGTTTCGAGTTTCGGGAAAAAAATGCACATCCCGAAACTAAGTTTCGGTATATACCGAAACCTAAAGGGTTTCGGGAGGTTTCAGATTCGGGCCCCATGTTTAGCGTGGCGTCTAAATTTGATTGGTTGATTCTGTGTAAAATTTTGAAAAAAATAAAAACATTCGTGAAAAAATTCAGACTTTTAATATTTAATTAATTTATAGTAGAAAAGACAATAGAAATTAAATAAATATTTTGTTTAATAGTTTTATTATATTTTTATTGGATAATACTGTAAACAATGCAGAAAAATTTTCACTTTATATATTTATCTAATAAAAATTTTTTTTTTCTTTGTTTTTAAAATTCTCTGTATAACTGATAAAGTAACATATACTTGCTAAAACAAATTTTAAAAATTTCAAAGGAACGTAAAATATTAATATTTATTGAATATAATATACAGTATGTGATAAAAATAATAAAAAGAAATAAATAACAAGAAAAGAAAGTATTTATATAATAGGTTTCCAAGGTTCCAAAAAATAAAATGTATAAAGAAATAGGTGAACGGTTAACGCGAGAAAAAAAAATATTTATTTATTATTGCATCAAACACATCACAGATCACGTGCCTGAAATTTTTTTGGTGGTTACGCTGGGAAAGATTAATTTGGATATCATTATTACCTTACCTGAAATGGCCTCCTCACAAAAATCTAAATGTAAAGATATAAAATTAGTAATATATTACTTTAAAAGTGTATCCTGTAATAATACTATATTACCTTTTAACATCTAAATTAACTAATTGAGAATCTTGGGTGTTTACTATTAAATCAATGAATTTAATTAGATTAATTACTATAAATTCATGACAAACTTCAAATCAGTACCTTCATCAACTTTTTCCTCTTGAAGATACAAACTAATAATAGAGGAATTAACAGGCTTTGATAGGTTGCTAAATGTAAGTTCTCGACTAGTATATATAGCATCAGGATCTTTTTCATAAAATATTGAAATATTTGGTCTTTCTTTATCAGCCTCTTCAAATATTTTTTTAATTTCTTTTCCTTTATATCCGAAATTTTCTTCTTCTTGCATCCATCCAAAGCTAATAATAGAAAAAAACCAAAATTTTATTATATTAAATAATTCATTGGCTGTTGGTCTCTCAATTGAATTGGCATTTGTACATCTATAAGCTAACTTCTTATATATTTCAGGAGTTCCCTTTCCAAATTCAGGTCTGAGTCCATCACATATAGCTAGTGCTAAGTTTAAATTATGCTTTTTATTATAAAATGGTGGTTTTCCAAATGATAATTCGATCATAATTATACCAAAACTATAAATATCAGATGATGAAGTGTATGGTTCTTTGTTTAAAACTTCGGGAGCAATATATGGTAATACACCATATATTTTGTTATCTAATTTTTGTTCATTCGCTGGTTCAGATAATCCAAAATCTGAAATATATAATTCAGAATCTTTTCGTAATATATTTCCACTATGTAAATCTTTATGAAAATATCCCAATTTATGCATATTTTTAAGATCCACCGCTAAATCAAATAACCAGTTAATTTTATAATTCCATGAAATATTTTTGAAATTATGTAAAACAATATTTCTCAAATTCCCCCCATCCGCAAAATCCATTATTATCATGAATTCTTTGGTTTCTGGGTCTTTTGTCATTCCATAAAATGTTAAATAGGACTCATAATTTAAACAAATATCCCAATATATTTTAAGCTGTTATTGATATAAGAATTGAATAAAGACAATTAATTGTCATTAGATGTCAAAACTAGTATATATATACAGTACGAATATAGATACCTCATTTAAATACTCAGCTGATATATTCTGTGATCCATTTAACTTTTTCAAAGCTACTTTTGTAGATTCAGGTTCTAATTTTTTCCAACTCCCATCACTTAGGTTTTTATATTTCGATTTACCATCTATCCATGTTGCAGAATATACTTTGGCAAAACCACCTTTGCCAATTTGTTCTATATTTATAAGTCTATCAAATGGTACCCACTCAAGAAACTCAGGATTTAGTTTTTGCCTTGCATTATAAATTGAATCTTTAATAAATTTATCAATATTTAAGTTTCCACTAGTCCATCCTTCTATCATGCAGTATGGATCACATTCTTTGCACCATAATTTTTCAGTAAATGGGTTATTACAATAAAAACATATCTTATTATCAATCTGATTATCTTCTATTAAAGATCAAAAAATAATGAATTAATATAAGTATTTAATTATGACTAATAAATTAAAAATATAATAATACCTTCATTATATATTTCATCAATGTATGAAGTAATAATAGATGAATTAACAGGTTTTGGAAAATCACTAAATGTAAATTCTTGGCAAGTAAGTTCAGCATCTGGATTCTTTTCATATAAAGTTGAAATATTTGGGATTTCTTTATCAGCATCTTCAAACATAACTTTGATTTCTTTTCCTACATACCCTAAAAATTTACCATTAAGAATATCATTCCAAAGATTTACAACTTGATATAATTCATCAGCTGTTGGTCTTTCAATTGAATTAGCATTCATACATTTATATGCTAATTTCTTATAAATTTCAGGAGTTCCTTTTCCAAATTCAGGTCTAAGTCCATCACATATATCTAATGCTAAATTTGAATTATGGCTTCTATTATAAAATGGTGTCTTTCCAGATGATAATTCTGCCATAATAATACCAAAACTATAAACATCAGAAGAAAATGTATACGATTCTCCACTAAAAACTTCAGGAGCAACAAACGGTAATATTCCACATATTTTTCCATTATTATTTGTTGATTTAAACAATTCAAAATTTAAAAGCCAAGTATAATGATTATTTTGTAATATATTTCCACTATGAAGATTTTCATGAAAATATTTTAATTCATGTAAATATTTGAGGTAAAATGCTAATTTCCATAACAAATGAATTTTGCTCTTCCATAAAATACTCCAAAAATCATTTATAAGAATATTTCTCAAAGTTCTTACATTTTCCGATTCTATTATCATCATAATTTCTTTTGTTTCTGGATTTTTAGTCATTCCATAAAATTTTAACGTAATATCCATTTTACTTAAATTCCAATAAAATTTAAGCTAAAATCAAAAAAAAGTATTATAAGAACTGAATCAAAATTAAAAGTACTTATAAATTTAATTAAACGTACCTTATTTAAATATTTAGGTGAAATATCTTGTGATTCATTTAAACTTTTCAAAACAATTTCCATAGATTCGGATTTATATTTTTTCCAATTCCCATCATCTAGTTTTTCATATTTTGATTTAACATCTATCCATGTTGCAGAATACATTTTAGCTAATTCGTCCTCACAAATTTGCTTTATACCTGCAAATCTATCAAATGGTACCCATTCGAGGAAATAATAATTATAATCTCTTGCATTATACATTGTGTCTTTTATAAACTTATCAATATCAGGAAAATCACTTGTCCATCCATCAATCATATAAAGAGGATCACATTCGTTACACCATAATTCTTCAGTAATCGGTTTTTCACAATAAGAACAAATTTCATACTTATCTGAGATATCTTTATAATATATTATAACAAAAAACAAATAATTATAATTATTTTAACTATAAAATTAACATACAGTTTTAAACTAAAATACAGTACCTTTATTGTCCATATTTTCTTCAAAATAGGAATTAATAATAGATGAATTACTAGGATTTGGTAAATTTCTAAATGAAAATATTTGGCTACTAGTATGTACTACAATATTAGAATTTTTTCCATATGATGTTGGAATATTTGGTATTTCTCTATCAGCTTCTTCAAATATAGTTTCAACTTCACTATCAGCTTCTTCAAATATAGCTTTAACTTCACCTCCTTTGTAACTAAAAATTTCTCCATTAATAGAATGATACCAAAATATTAATATTTTGTTTAATTCATCTGCTTTTGGTCTTTGATTTGGATTAGAATTCATACATCTATAAGCTAATTTCTTATAAATTTCAGGAGTCCCTTTTCCAAATTCTGGCCTGAACCCATTACATATATCTAGTGCCAAATTCAAATCATATTTTCTATCATAAAAAGGTGGTTTTCCGGATGATAATTCGGCCATAATTATACCAAAACTATAAATGTCTGAAGATAACGTATATTGTTTTCCATTCAAAACTTCTGGAGCAATATATGGCAATATGCCATATATTTTATTATCTGATTTTTTTTTATTTGCTGGTCCAGTTAATCCAAAATCTGAAATATAACCTTTACGACTATAATACTTGCTATTAAAGATTAGTATATTTCCGCTATGAAGGTTTTTATGGAAATATCCTAACTTGTGTAAGTTATTAAGCCCTAATATTAAATGACCTAAAATTCTAATTTTACTACTCCATGAAATTTCGTTAAATTCATTTAAAAGAATACTTCTCAAACTTCCTTCGTTCATAAACTCAATAATCATCATAAATTCTTTAGTTACTGGGTCTTTAGTCATTCCATAAAATCCCAAAGTAAAATTTTCTTCTAAATAAACATCCCAATGTATTTTAAGCTATAAAAATTTTTAAAGTAAATTAATGAAAAATAATTGTAATTTAAAATAATAAAAATAATAATTATACCTCATTTAAATAGTCAACTGACATTTCATGTGAATCATTCAATTTTTTCAAAGCAACTTTAATAGGTTTAGGATCTAATTTTTTCCAATTACCATATTCATATTTGTAATCTGCCTTACCATCTATCCAGGTTGCAGAATACACCTTGGAAAATCCGCCTTCGCCAATTTGTTCTATATTTGTAAACCTATCAAATGGTACCCATTCAAGCCATGTTCCATATTTTCTTGAATACATTGTATCTTTGATGAATTTGTCAATATCAGGATTTTCGCTTGTCCATCCTTCAATTATCTTATACGGGTCGCATTTTTTACACCATAATTTTTCAATAAACGGTTGGTTACAATAAGAACAATTTTTATGGTCGAGGCCTATGTTTGAATCACTTAATTTAGACTTTATTGGAACTTGAGTTTTATTATTTAATATACTCATTTTTTTTTAAAATAAATAAAATTTACGAGTATAAAGTAAAAAAAAGATATAAAATTTTGGGCGATCATATTTGTATTACGGCTCCCCATTACCCGATGATTACACGGCATTTAGGGCTGAATTTTGTACTCTACTGTACTGGCATAGCCCGATTTAGCCGTACAAATCAAATTCGACTATACTTTGCAACAAAAATGCAGGGCCGGCACTTTATAATATAATACTGGCTGGCATTATTTAGATCTACGCTCGTTACTAACGTTACTTCATAAACAACATACACTGGTCATGAAATTAACACGATATAAATTTTTCCACTTGAGGTTTTGCAATAAATATTGTATTTAAAAGCTTTTATTCTCATTAACGAAAAAATTACGCTACAAATTGATATTAATAGTAACGAAATACAAATTCTTTAGACTAACAATATTTTTTGAAAATGTGCGGTGCTAATTTTGGGAAAACTATATAGTACACTAATGCTCTCCGTTAGAGTATTACTCAATTGTAACTTGAATTACTTTATATTTTAATTAGATCATTATAATAGATAAGGGAATTTGACAATAAATAGTATTGGATTGCAATCAAACAGATATGAGATAATAATATTAACAATTAATAAGACCTCAAATTGGCTTGACAATAAATAAATAAATAAATAAAATAAATAAACGAACCGTTATTTATTTTTTTTAAGAGATATGAATAATGACAAATAACTCTCATAATCCGAATTGGTTATTAGTTTTTTTTTGTGATAATAATGACTTAGATCTTGGAACCGATACAAAAAACCTCAACCAGCTAGCCGGAATTAAAATTTGGCCGGAATTACAGCTGATTTCATAATGTGGAGTGTGGACACTTAACAAATTCAAAGAACTCGGAAATATTCGGTAAAGCTTGGTATAAATAAAAATTATACGCTAATTTTGGAGTATTATTTCGAGAATGGTGGTATAATTTTATCTTATTTGAACTTTACCGAATATTTCCGAGTTCTTTAAAATTTTGCTAAGTGTCCCGTACATTATGAAATCAGCTGTGATACATTTCGCAATTTTAAATATTCAATTTATAAATAACAGAGAAAAAATTTTTAAACGGTTGGAGTGATTTATTACGGAAAACATTGTGTATTAAATATGTAAAAAATCATTTTCTCTGTTACAATCTCGCTATGATCTCGTATTTTAACCGGGTAAATTAACCAAATAATTTAGCTTGGCAAAATTATCGTCTTATGTAATCAATTACAATTGTAATAGATATCTTAGCCGCCGTTCCAAGCTCTAGTAATGGCTACACGTATCCACCCATTTTATCGACACCTACTTTACCAACATAAAATTTATTGACTTCACTTTACCGACTTTCTATTTCACCGACATCACATTTTTCCGAAAACATTTCAACGAATTCACTATTTTGCCCGTATCGACATGATCGACATAGTATTTGACATGAAATTTTTGTCTTTAAAAATTTTTTTGAAAAATATCCTGTGTTAATTATCTTATTTATTACTATCTATAATTCATTTTTATATTTTGATATTTATTGTTTTTCTAACCAAAAAAGGTTTTCACCGAATAAGTAATAATTATTTATCGTATGAAACAACTATTATAAAATTGGATACTATTTATTGGGCAAATTTAATTTTATATTGCAATTTGCAATTTGAAAGTAAATAAATCTAAAATTGTTCTAAAAGCAGTAAATTTTTCTTAATTTTTTAAGAGGAATTGCTCAAAACGATATTTGAATAAAGCTAGATAATGAATTATAAATTTTCGGTGAGATGGCAAGTCGGGTAATTTTTATGTCGGTAAAATGAAACGAAATAGGTAATTTTCATTTCGGTAAAATGGAATCGACAAAATGGTAATTTCATGTACCAAATATTTATCTCGAAATCAAATTTCTAACTTCTGGCAAACTCGTCTAACGTTCGGAATATAATCTGCAATATGCAGAAACGAATTAAAAAGTTTCACTTTAGTAGTCTCTGGCGGTGAAATGGCTGTTTGTAAATAGTACCGTGACCACGACCACGACTAAACGAGATTTTTCATACGATTATTCATTTTTTATTCTGTAAAAAATTAATTAGTAATGACGAATATTGCGGTTTAAATAGAAGAATGCATAAATATGCAACTATAATTTTTATTTTATTTTACATTTTAAGAATATTTTTTTTTTTTCAAATCACGCGCTCTCTTAAGTGATTTCCGGTATCACGTGATTTGAATATTTTCCTGATGCACGAACCAATCGAACCATTTTTAATTATAGAAATTTACGTGATACCGGATAAAATTGTGTACAGTTACGCAAAGGCAAAGGACTAGTCGTACAAATATGTGACCACTTTTAATCGTATTACCAAATTAAATTATTTCATTTATCCAAATCACTTCATAATTTAAGTAATTATAAATAGCGATCTTTGTACAATATTAATAATAGTCATTTAAAGTTTCTAAAATCAGGCAAACGTTATAAAATTTAAAATACGCAGTAGATATAAGAAATACTGTATTATTTATTTCGTAATTTTCTATACATTAGCTTTTAACGAAAATATTTTTATTCTACTAGTCTAAGCAAATTATTAATAGTTCTCACAAATAATCATTAAATGGAATTTTTTAACACCATGATTGTTTACATAGTACATTTACCGTACCATTCGTATCTACAATTTATATACAGTACTTACATTATATAACATACCAATATTTACAATATTTACATGACAACTCCCGTTTCAAATTCTGAATCCTTTAACATTTAGGATTAGATTTTAAATGATCCAATACTTGCTGTTTGGCATTTCTAAGGAATTCGTCTATAGCCATATAAGCATCTTGTTTATTTTTCCAAGGTGCCCAAATATTAAAACTTGAAAGACCAGGAACATCTTGATAATTATTTAATTTCGTATCCTGAGATTGATTAATGAGAGTATCATCATCAAAATAATTCTCTCGTTTATTTCTATACATCTATTGAAAACATAACGTTCGTAAATGTTTGAATCGTGATAAATTTATTATTATAACTTTTTTTTTTAACATACCGGAGGACGTTTATAATTAGTTTTTCTTTGACGAATAATTTCTATTTGTTTATTCATTGGTTTCCATCGTAAATTATTTGGTAATTTATAAGAACCAAAGTTACTTTCTTGTTGTTTAATATTAATATTCATTAAATTAGAATAAGAATCCAAAGGTTTATTAAATCCATTCTGAAGTTTCTTTTTAATTAAAATTGATAAAAATTAGTCAAACGATTAACACAATATATCATATACAATATAATAGACCTTTTTTTTTTACCTGATAGGAATCATTATCAATATCAATATATTCATCTAAATTTTGATCAGGTTCCATAAAATTAGCGCGATCATTTTCATCAGTTAAAGGAAGAGCGATTTTCAAATTTTTAACCTTCTTAATTTTATTCAAATTATTACGATTGATCTTCAAAGCAGGGATAATTGTTGATTCAGACTTTTTCAAATAATTGATATAAGAAAAATATGGTTTAATATTATTCGAAAATTGTAAAGTTTTAGGATTAGAATAAATTAAACCATATAAGAATTCATTATGTTGATATGGATAATAGTAACTTTCTTCTTGCATTTTTAGAATTATTTTTTTGTTGTTTTTTGAAAGGAGAAAAAAAGAAATTAAAATGGAAAAAAAAAAATTGAAAAAAAAAATTTGATTTATTAATAGTATCATAATATTAAAAATTGTATTAGTGTAATTAGTGTGAAAAAAAAATTAATATACGTTACTATATTATTAGCATAGTATATATTAGTATATTATACGTACGTTTATACTATACGTAAGCTTTTAATAAACTTTAGCACGAAAAAGTTACAGTAAATATATCGAATGATCTACCTGAGGTCAAATAATTGTGTTACATTTAGCGTATAATGAAGTTTTAACGACTCAGTCGACTCATTAAAAAATTTCAAATGAATTTTCAAATTTCAAATTATTAATTATTTATGTAATTACAAATAGGTTTCCATTAAAAAATTTCTTTAAATAATTTGAAATTTTTATTTTTAATAATTTTTATATTTTTAATAAAGGGTATTAACATTTTATGGATGATCATTCCGATACACAGATTACACTTTGACATTTAATTTTAATTTTACGTATGTTACATATAGAAACGTTACATCAAAATTCCTCAAAACATAGTTTAAACTTAAAAAAAATATTATTGAAAAATACAACAAACAATTCATAATATCTAAATTATTAATTCTTTAAGAATTTATTATTCACATGTCGTCAAAATAATACACGAAAATTAAAAATTATTCTCATTTACAATATACTATGAATGACGTTACACAGCTAAGCTATTTTTTATAATTTATAAAAAATGATCGACTAAAGCAATACATAATTCTTAAAGCTCAAAGAACCTTAATAAGGATTACGCATGGATTTACTTTTTCGTCATCATCCTTCCATCTAATAAATATTATAATTCACTTTTCGGAATCATCTTTCCATCTAATACCTGATACTATTATCTTTTTACGATTATTGTTATCAGTTGTAAATATTTATCATAAACGTATCACCAATAAAATGTATCATATATTAAACAATCTTTACGCTTTACGCATCAAAAGTATTTTATTCTTCCGGTTTATTCCGGACAAATTTACTTACGGAATATTTTTGTTTGTAATAATTTCATCATATCTTACTAATCATGTATGATAAAGTTTTAGGTTTTTTAGGTTTGAAGTTGAAAAATAAATAAAATAAATTCTCCATGAATCTAATGAAATCTTAGATAAAAATCTAAATATAGACTTTTTCTATTTTTATATTATTTTTTTTTTTTACTATTATCCCTAGAATTATTAATGTTTATATGTTGGTTACGTTTCGGAATTTTTTTAACATGCAGAAAATTTTAATTAATATTTATGTTACAGTTTCGGGATATAACATATTAGGAAATACTTTAAATGAACATGCATAACTAATAACATTTTAGAGATTTTTTAGATATGTTACCATTGTCAATATACTTGTATTGTATGTACTACTGTACCGTACTGTACATTATAATTATAATAATAATACACTGCAACATACTGTACATTTATACACTGCATACTAAATACACTGCGTCCTTAAAATATACTAAATAAAACTGCGTCTCCTTAAAAAAAAATAAAATTTTTTAAAGTTCTAAACATTAAATTTTTACCCCTAAAAAAAAATATTTTAGGCAATTTTAAATTACATTTATTAAATTTAGACATTATTTACCGTTTGTACAATATAAAATTACTTTTTTCATCCCTGTTTGATCAACTGTACTACATTTAAGATTAATACAATTTTGATCGAATTTCTAAATTTGGTTTAACGTAAATCTTTTTTAAGAACATTGTAATGTGACGTATCCATTTTTGTTTATTTATGTTTATTATTCATGCAATTTGGAAATTGGGACGAAAAATACGGGTGAAGAGTGTACGGTAACAATTTTTAACTATTTTTTTTTTTTTTTTTAACCATTATTCCTGAAAAATTGTGATACAGTATCAGAAATCAAAATTCGGTCAATAATAATAACTTTCCAATTTTGGAAATTAATCATATTAAATCATTTTTTTAAAATAAGACAATAATAATTCTTTTTTTTTGATTGTAAATCATTTAATTGTTTAAGTATTGTTTTTAAAAAAATCTATTGACGCAGTAATTTTTTGCGAGCGAAAAAAAAAAAATTCTGTACATAAAAACAAAAAAATTTTTTTTTTATTCATTTTACTCTTTACTTTTACTTTTACCCTTAAAAAAAAAACTTTCTTAACCACAACACTTTTTTAATAATAATAATGGCAAACTCAACAATGGCAAGTCCTACTTTACCATCTTTTAACTCTTACTTTGAATCTCAGCAAATGACGTCAAAATGTCAACATTTATCCCGCTATTTGGATAGTGATGGATGGTGTAAAAAATGTACAATGAAAAATGTTTCAAGTGGTCATTCTGGTATTGATAAATTTATTAAACGTACTCAAAATAAGGCAACTAATTGGGCTGATCCTTATTTGGAATGGATTTCTTATGATCAATTTCAAGATATAAAAGAAATAGGACAAGGAAATTTTGGTATTGTTTATTCAGCTACTTGGACTTTAGGAAAAAGAGTTGATAATCATAATTCTTCTCGTAAAAATAAAGTACAATGTCCAAGAGAAGGTCCAATGACTGTATCTCTTAAACGTATTAAAGATTCTCAAGAAATGACTCGTGAATATATTAAACAATTAAAAGTTTATTATCGTTGTAGTTTAATGCAATCAAAAAAACATGTTCAAGAATTATTGGAATTTTATGGAATAACAAAAGATCCTGAAACAAATGATTTTATTTTAGTAACTCAATATACTCCTTTTGGTAATCTTCGTAATTTATTAAATACAAACTTTTCTTCTTTTCAATGGATTGATAAAATTTGGTGGCTTTGTGATATTGTTTCAAATTTACATAATATTCATAAAGCTGGTTATATTCATGGTAATATTCATCCTGGTAATATTTTACAAATTGGTAAAGATCAAAGAGAATTAACTTCTACTTTGGCTGATACTGGTTTATCTTTACTTGCAAATAATCATACTTCTAAAATTGGTAAAAAGGATGTTTATGGTGTACTTCCTTATATGGCCCCTGAAATAATCTTAGGTCATCCTCGTACAAAAGAATCTGATATTTATAGTATAGGAATTTTAATGATTGAATTATCAAATGGTATTTTACCTTTTTCTGATCGTCATCATAATTCTTTATTGGCTTTAGAAATTATTAAAGGTTTAAGACCTCAAATTTCTCAAGATTTACCTCAAGTTTATATAAATTTAGCTTTAGATTGTTGTCATAAAGATCCTTCTTTAAGACCTAATGCAAAACAATTATTATGTATATTTAATTGTTGGTGGGAAATTTTAAATAGACCTGATGATAATTTATCAGGTATAAGAAAATCTTTTATAGCAGCTGATGATTTATTACCAATGTTGGAAGTTGAAAAGAATAATCGTGAATTAAATTCTGGTGCTTTTTATACAAGTAGATTATTACAATTTGAAGATGTATCAAAAAGAGATAGTAGTAGTAGTGATATTTCTGATGTAAATTATTAAAACTAATTAATTTAGTAAAATGTATTGTAAAAAAAAAGTATTATATTTTATTTAATAAAAAAAAAATAATGTAACGTATTGTACGTATTGTATAAAAGTATTGTATTGTATTTTTTTGTGGTATCAGGTTTCCGCATTTGGTAAATAAACTTATACATTTCTGATATTTTATTGTTTGAATCATTTCTACCAGAATTAGGATATCAATTGAACGGTTTAAGGTTAAACTTGCCCGTAAATAAATTTCTTACCTATCAAATTAGGGATAATATCAAATTAGGATAAACAATAAAAAAAATAAAAAAAATAAAAAAAATAAAAAAAAATAAAAAAAAATAAAAACAATAATAATACAATAAAATAATTTAACTTTAACAATAATATAATAATAAATAATAAATAATAATTACCCCTAAATAACCCCTAAATAACGCAATAAAAATTATGAAACGATACACCCCCTTTTTTTTTACCTCAAACACTCCCCAAACCAAAACATTATTTACGTTACATTTTTGTAACACAATAAAAGTTGTGTCAATATTTTGTCACATGATTTCATCCTTTAATAGATAAAAAGGACAAGTTTGACGAAAATTTTTTTTTTTTTTTCATATTTTTTTTTTTTTTTTTCTCTCTCTCTCTCTCTCATCACGATGGGTATTCCCGTTCCTTTGGAATGTTTACAAGAAATTCTTCAATTTCTTCAAGATGATCTTAAATCTTTATACGCGACATTATTCGTTGATAAACTTTGGTGTATTAACGTAATACCAATTCTTTATAAAAATCCTTTCGTCCTATTAAATCAAGCATTATTTACCACACGTAATTTTAATGATGCATTTGAAATTCATGGAGAAAAAATTCTTTTATTATTAGATATTTATCTTTCACATTTAACTTTACAACAAAGATTAGAATGGGAAGAAAAAGGAATTATGTTAACAAAAAATGTTGAACCACTTTTATTCGATTACCTTTCATATTTAAGAATACTTCCTATACCTGAAGTACGTCACGCAATTTTATTATGGTGTAATAAAAATTATAATATTAGGAATCATAGAAATTTTATTGAAATTGAATTAAATAAATTATTTTTTACTAAATGTAAAAATATTAATACAATAATGTTAGATGAATCTTCTCAATTACCTGAATTAGAAAATTTATTACCAAATTTTCATAATTTAAATTTTATTTGTTCAAAATTATTTGATACTTCAATACTTGAAAAAATCATACCATATTGTGATAAAATTAAAGTTTTAAGTATATTAAGATTTGGTAATAAAACAACCATGAATGATAAATTTATTATACCAAAAATTATTAATAAATCAAAATCTTTAGAAAAATTTTATTGGGAAAGTATAAAAAATTATGATGAATCTTTTATAACAAAATCACTTGAAAATCATATTAATACTTTAACTCATATTGAAATTTATAATAATTTTACTTTTCATATTATTAATTTAATTTCAAAATGTTTTTATCTTAAAAAATTAAGATTATCAAAAAATTTTTTAAATAATTTTCCTCAATTTATTAATGATGATTCAAATGATGATAATAAATTTATTGATATTACCCCTTTTATAAATCCTAATTGTTATTTTCCTTATTTACAAGAATTATTTTTTGGTTTTATACCAAAAATTTCTCATCATTTTGATATTTTATTAAGAAATACGAATAATTCTTTAAAAATTTTAGGTACAAATTGGTTAAATTCTATTAATTTTCTTGATCTTTATTGTGAAAATTTAAATTTTTTATATTTAAAATTATCTTTTAAAGATTTTATAAAATTTTTTAATTTAAAAAAATTACCAAATTCTTTAACAAAATTAATTTTCATATCATCATCATCAAATCTTAATAATGATAATGATATTAATATAAATGATTTTTTATTTCATCTTGGTAATATTTTACCAATTAATATTAAGTTTATTCATTTAGGAATGTTTTATAAATTCTTTTCTATTGATTATTTATCAAAATTTTTTTTAAATTGTCATGATATTTTATCATTTTTACCTTTGGAATTGATTTTACCTTTTAATATATATATTAATAATAATAATCATCATGATGATGATTATTATTTGAATCTTAATCTTTTAATTAAATCTTTTTTTAAACAAAATGTTTTATCGAAAAATACTTGGATTTTATTTCTTTATTTTTATTTAAAAGATTGTAGAAAATGTTCTTCTTGTAATGGTCGTTTACTTGACGGTAAGTTACTTTTTCTTCTAAAATTAATAAATCATTACGGACGATAATTTCTTATTAAAAAAAATTAATTAAAATTTCAAATTAAAATTTCAAATCAAATTTCAATCAACAGAAGAAAATCCTATCGAACCTTTCAAGGAAATAATCATCATTAAACATTGTTCTTGTTATAAGCATCACATCGAACCTTTCATATTACGAGAATTACAAGATGGTGAGGATGAAGAGAATGTTGTTTAATATAGAGTATCGACGCCAACGGCGTGGCGGTGGCGTGGCGTATTTTACATCGAAAAAATGTTGGGTAGTATTTTTTAATTTGGATAATGATAAAATTGGATAATTATTTATGGATATTCTTTTAGTAAAAGAAAATTTGTTATATTCTTTTTTTTTTTTTCTTTTATCTGTTTATTTTTTTTTTTTTCAAATGGATAATAATAAAAATTATGATGTTTTTAAGTTGTTTACGTTACGTTTCGAGTTTTGGTGGGCGTAATATTAATATTCCTTATATTTATTTCCCTGTAAGTCGAATATAATTATGGTATTTCTTTTTGTAACCAGCTGATGTGGTGCAATTCATAGGTCCCGTCGCACTAAGTGTCATTCTTACTCTTTTATTAATTTTTGAAAATCGCAAGTGTAGCACAGAGAATCTTCACTTCCGGTCATATAGATGGTCGGGAAAATCATAATTTTGGTCAATCACGTTACATCTGATATTCAACGCTTCTGAGGATATTTCATTTTTTTTTCTCTTCGGGAAAAAAGCCTATTATTTCCAACTCCTCATGAAATAAATCATACATATTTTTATTTCAGTTATAACGATAAAAACTGCGTAAGTTATTTAAATCATTTGATTTATTTATAACGGGTATCCATACTAATAAATAAAAAAACTGCGCCTCATTTTCGCTTTTTATTCGCGCTAAATGAAAAAAAATTTTTTTTTTTTTTTGTTGATCCATATACATTAATACATATGTATTAAGACGTCTTGTAAAATCATTGTAAAATTTTGCTTTATATTAGTTTATAATTAAAAGTTCATAATATTTTTTTTTTTAGAACAATAAAATTAAATTATTTAACGAAATAGGACTTGATCCCTTTAGTTCGATTTGATTTTTCTGATAGGATGTTCCTATTGTAAAATAAAGCAAAAAAAAAAGTTGATTAATATAAGTTTATATCAAATAAAGTATCTTTTAAATTTCATTAATAAATCATTAAAATAAATTGCATAAGCTAGATCATCTAATCTCTACAACGCAGTTGAAATCGTTCGGAAATAAAGAATTAATTAGAGAATATCTATCAGAATCCCAAATTCTGTAAGAACGCTTCAAATAATTGTCTTTTTCATATGACACCTTCCTTTTCAAAAAAAAAATAATAATAAACGATTCAAGCTTTTTTAGCTTTTATTAGATACTTCTCAATAAGAAAAAAAGAATTTTTTTTCTTTAGCAATTTCAAAAAAGTGAGGTGTCATGTTGTTTGTGTATTTATTTAATCTTTAAGTATTTTACACAAAGGCTAATAACGCATGATTTATCGAATTTTAAGTTTTCGGAAATTCTAATGGCTTCTATCTTAAGGCGTGCGCGGATAAATTATTTTCTGAGAAAATTTGTATGTAATTTTGTAAATTAATCTAAAATACCCGGATTTAATTCATAACCGGCATAAATTAAATCATTTCAAAAATGTGGTACTTTGCACAAGGTTTTGGTTTAATTAGTTGATGGTACACCCAGCGCTGTAGGGTGTTCCAGGATGGTCGATATAACCCAACAGCACCCAGAAAAATTCTTCGATCACGTGATCTGTTTTTATTTATCACATCGTCACTCCGAGGGACTTAGATTTTTCAAGTAAATGAAATTCTATTTGTCACGTTTTATTCATCACATCCTAAATTCTTGGTCACGTGTCAGTGCATAACTCCGGCCGAGTTCGAAGAATTTTCTGGGTGCCGTTGGGGATATATATAGGGGTCAGGTGATAAAAAAATTTTTTACTATGAGCTGTACGCATTTTTTCAGGGCCGGAATCAAAAATTTTCTAAAAAAGGAAAGATTTCATGATTTTTTTAGTTCAAAATACGCAAACTCAAACCTGACCCTTTTATATATATTTCTGGGTCCTGTTGGGGTCGTAAAAACCACATGTGATTTTTCACAAATTCGCGATTGGCTGTAATTTCGACCTAATAAGGCACCATGATTTTAGCCAGAATTATTTTGACCAATTTCAGCAAAATCATAATCACATGGTTATCCAGCAAATTTAAATATTGTGAAAATCGTGAAATTTTATCAAAAATTGCGACCACTCCAAAATCGCAAAAAAATTAGTCAAAATCGTGATAAAATCGGGAACATCCCGGACACCCTCCAGCGCTTGCCGTCACCATACTATTATACAAAGCATGAAAAATAAATGGGATTCTTTTACTTTGATTATAAATTTCGATTTTACTTATCCAAACAAGTCAAAAATGGTATCTCAAACATTTTTTGGCGTCTACTTTCTAAGAAAATTATCTCGTGTTCTTTGCTGTACCACAATGAGGCTTGACACACATTATAAATTTTCTTGTGATAACATAGATTTGTTACATAATGTTATGACCTGCCGAGTCCGGGAATTAAAACTCACCTATGAGCGATTTTATCACCATTAAAATTTATGATGAAAATCAATAAAAATTCAATAAAAACAAAAAGCGTATAGTGCCAAAGCAGGGAGAAAGGGTTGAGGCATTTGAAACAACGGAGAGTTTGTAAGACTACCTACGATATTTTCCGCGATGAAAAGTGTAGTTTTTTTTTAGAAATCTTTTTCGAGACAAAATTTAGAGCTTTATTTCGAACGCTTTTATATATAATATCTAGGTTTTTATTTTTCTTTTCTTCATAATTAGTGTAGAACGATTTAGAAAATAGTAAAGCCTCAAAACACATAAAATATCAAAAATCAAAAAACATCGTAAAATTATTTAGTAGTAGCGTAGTTTAAACAATATTTTTAATTTTTAATCAAACACAATTTTTTTTAGTTAGATTTTAAATTTAAAACCATGTACGATATACTTAGTTATAGGGTTTAAAAGGATTTTTCCTTTTTTGCTCTAAGTGCTTTTGTAAGTTATACTAGATCTGTTTTGATCGCACATAATTAATAAAGCGCGTTACTATTTTTTTTTTTTTAAAAAAAAAAATCAATAAAAATCAATAATTATATCTCAATTTAATATTTATATTTATGGTTACTTACTTCAATATTAGTATCAGTTATTTCATATATTCATTTACTATTATTGCAAATCATTTAAAAATTGTTTCATTCATTAAACATAGTAGTAAATGCCTACTATTCTACCCATTAAATTTATTATTTTAAATAGTACATAAAAATTGAAATAATACTGAAAATAAAATAGATAAATGAGATAATACATAGGATAAATGGGATAGATGATGTTTCAGTTGTTTTTATAAAATTAAAAGAAAATAAAAGAGGAGTGATGAAGATGGGGATAACAGATCAACTTTACAGAAACTTCAAGATCATAGCAATGGCTTAATGCGCAGTAACTGCGTTATAAATACATAGTGACCACATTATGTAATCGTAATGAAATTACATATATGCAGTTACTGCGCATTAAGCCATCGCTACGATCTTGAAGTTTCTGTAAAGAAGGTAGTAAGGAAATATTCAGTATGGATACGAATTTGAAAATCAGTATAGTACATTTGGTCAAATTGATACCAGTACGTACAGATTATTCCCTAGAAAATTTGCTGGCTCCATACATGCATATATGCCCTGCATAAATTGTTATACTTTTAAAATATGTAATAAAAATCGTATCTGGTGTTGGCGCAAATGACCCAAATAATCCAAAGCAAAATCCTAATCCAAATGAGCAGTCACCACGCATTGACCTAATCGATTTAACTAATAAAAAAAGTCATTTTTATTAAAAATGAAAAAAAAAGTCATCTTTTTTTTTTATTAAAATTGAAGAAAAGGTCACTTTTTTTATTAAAAAATGCAAAAAAGTCATTTTTATTAAAAACGAAAAAATGAAAAAAGTCATTTTTTTTATTAAAAATGAAAAAAAAATTATTTTTTTATTAAAATCAAATTTTTCATTAAAAAATGAATACACTTTGATTTTTTCAAACAAAATCTATTAAAAATGAAAAACAAGTAATTTTTTTATTATATAAACAATATACAGTAGACGATTGTAGACGTTGTAATGCCGTAATATACCTAGTAAATTTATTAATTATAGGACGCAGTATTATATTTAAATTCAATGTATAAAAATTTAGTATTTTAAAATAGTGTTACAATGTTATAAATTTAGCGTCCGAATAGTTGTGCAGATCATTAAATCAGGTGAATTGGAGTATCAGGTGATCAATTTGTAGATCATGATGTTGATTAGCCTTTCAAAAATCGGACCATATGTACAGCACACCACATTAACAGCTAACTAACATTTTCTTTTTAGGGGGTATTTTCTAGTAATGGCTCAAAGTAATGATAAAGGTACAAAGCATAGTAGCATGAATATTTGATACAAATTAATCTAAAATTTTTAAAACAAATTTGCAATATAATATACTAGTTTCTAGTAGCACTGAAGAATTTGAAGTCAAGAAATTTGAAGGTTAATATAATTATGCTTATTAGTAAATATTTACATATAATTAAAACTAATTATATTCTTTATTCAAATGATTTAGAATGTAAGTGATATATTTAATTTATATTTAATTACAGTATGTACATTTATAGTGATACTATTTACATTTAATTAATTAATAATTAATAATACTACAGGGTGTAAGTTATATTATTATCTATATCTATATTTCTGTCGTTTATATAATTTAAAACTAATAAAATTCTTCATTTAAAAATTATTTAATAATATAGTTAGTAAGTTATTTATATAATTCTATTATTATTACATAATTATATAATATTTATGTATAATTTAAACTAATTAAATTCTTTATTTGAAATTATTTAATAATATAGTTAGTAAGTTATTTATTTAATTCTATTCATTATTGCATATTTATATAATATTTACGTATAATTTAAACTAATTAAATTCTTTATTTGAAAATTATTTAATAATATAGATGGCAAGTTATTTATTTAATTCTATTCATTATTGCATATTTATATAATATTTACGTATAATTTAAACTAATTAAATTCTTTATTTGAAAATTATTTAATAATATAGATGGCAAGTTATTTATTTAATTCTATTCATTATTGCATAATTATATAATATTTACGTATAATTTAAACTAATTAAATTCTTTATTTGAAAATTATTTAATAATATAGATGGTAAGTTATTTATTTAATTCTATTCATTATTGCATATT